GCCGCTGCTGCTGCTGCTGCGGCCGACTCGGCCGCTCCTCGTCTTGACGACGCTGCTGCCCCGCGCTGCCAAGGGTCCTCGCTCGCCGCGGCCCCCGCCGCGGCGCCCATGGTGTCTCGCACCATTCCCGCCACGAGCTCCCTCAGCTGCTCCGGTGTGACCGACACGGCCGTCTGCGCAGTCGGAGGGGACGCTGGTCCCCCTGCGCCTTCGGCGCTGGGCAGTGTCGCCATGAACGTGCCGCCCCTGTCGTCGCCGTCATCGGGCATGCCGTGGATCCACGCCGCCTAGCTCGCGCGAGCCGGCGCCGACCGGCGGCTCTCGAGCCGCGCGTGCCGCGCCCCCTCAGGGACTGGCCGCGCTGCCCATGGCCGCGCCGGTCGAACCGGCTCCGCTACCAACTGTGGCAGCAGCAGAGCACACTGGACACTTTTCCCTTGAGCCAAAGTACCGTCCACGGGTGCAAACATGCGTACAACACTAAACGCTAAACCTGAACGCAACGGATAGAGAAAATTACTGATCAGTTACAAGCAGGAGCGGCAGGAGGAGGACGACGCTGAGGAGGAAGCGGAGGAAGGACGACCACGACCAGGCGGGAGGGACAAGCAGGGGAGCGCAGCGCGGGGCAGTGGCACGGCACCTCACGACGCGGAACGACCCCGAGTGGGGCGGGAGTGCACCCCGCCGAGACTCCGACGCGCGCTCGCGAGCACGATGGGGAGCCTGGCGCTCCCTCCTTCGGCTATACGCAAGAGTGACCCTGGGTAAGAGTGACCTTTGGTGCGCGGCATTAGGGGGGCGCGGGGGAGCCAAACCCAAGCGCGCAAGCCGCTTATATCGCAGCGCGGTCGGCGATTGGGGGACCCATTTGGGCCCGCACCAAAGGTCACTCCGGCGAAAGGTCACTCTTACGTCTAGCCGACTCCTGGGCTGCGCCGTCGCCTCCGAGATCGCCCGGCCTCCGGCCCCCTCCGCGAGACTCCGCCGGCGGAGGCCCCCCGTGGCCTCGCCGACCCCTCGGAGTCGCCCGCCGCGGCCTCGCGTGGGGCACGCGGCGAAGGCCCCCCCCCCCCGCGGGGAGCGCGGGACGCAGCCGCTCCGGGGGCGCACGGCGCGGCCTCCGGGCGCGCACGGCAGGCAGGGCTGCGGCGGGCTGCCTGGGCCAGCGGCGTCGCGCGGGAGCCCCCGGCGCAGGCCCCCGCCTGGCCCGTGCGATGATCTCCCCGACCTCGCTCCTCCTCCTCCTCCTCCTCCTCCTCCTCCTCCTCCTCCTCCTCCTCCTCCTCCTCCTCCCCTCCTCCTCCTCCTCCTCCTCCTCCTCCTCCTCCTCCTCCTCCTCCTCCTGAGCGTCAACCACGATGTGCGCATGCGCCCGCCGTGATCTCGAGGGTGGTGGCACCACGAAGCTGGGCGGCCCACCAGCGGGGCTGAGGCCTCCCGCAGCCGTGTTGCCCCAAGTCCCGATGGGGCAACGCCAGGGGGGAACCAGCTCAAGGGGGGGAGCATCGGCCTGGAATCGGCGATGTATCGCCGCTAGATCGGCGATACAGTGTGGGCGCGGTCGCGAGAAACCCTCGCAAGAAACCCAACCCTGAAAACCCGCGCGCAAGGTGCATCTGAGGGGAAACCCAGAGCACCCTGAACGTAGCAGCTCCCTTGACGGCCGCGGGAAGGCACCGCGCAGCGCGCGGAGCCAGAAAACCCAGGGCACCCTGACAAAAAGCACGTAGTTTCTTGATTCGCGTCTCGGGGATGGACAGACCCCCCTTTAGTAAAACGTGGTTTAGTGAAAACGACCTGAGGCCCAAACCTGGCGTGCGCAAGCCTGGAAAATGGCGGCAACGGCGCGCTCTCTCGAGAACCGAAAAAACGGACAATGCACCAATCGACGTGTCGCTGTTGGGGGTCCTGTCAACCCCCGAGCGTCCCCACTGTAGGCTCCCGACAGCGACACCCCACGGCCCTGCTCGGGGTGGCCTGGAAATGGGCACCAACACCAACACAGGGGTTTGCCTCCACAGGGGGGAAGATGATCCTAGATTTCGGTGTTGGTGGCAACAGTTCGGTCACCTTGGAAGCCAGAATATTACCACCATCACCGAGATCGGGATTTTCTTCCCTCGGTAGAGGCACACCGCCGATGTTGGTGTTGGTGTCACCCCACGGCCCTGCTCGGGGAGGAGGAGGAGGAGGAGGAGGAGGAGGAGGAGGAGGAGGAGTGGAGGAGGAGGAGGAGGGAGGAGGAGGAGGAGGCGGAGGAGGAGGAGGGGGGGGGGGCTAACGGCCACCGCCGGCGATCCGTGTGCGGCTGGGGGCCGCGGCGCCCCCCCCCCCGGAGCCCACCCTCCCCTGGCGCGGCCCCCCCCGCAGCGGCCCACGCGGCCCCGCCCCGGGCGCGCGAGCGGCCGCCCTCCGCGCGCCCCCGGGGGCCTGCCCGCGGAGGAGCGGCGAGCGGCACAGCCACGACCTCTCGGAGGCCCGCGCCGAGTTCCGCAGAGCGGCGAGGCCTCCGAGGAAGAGAAACACGCCAGGGATCTGGGCCTGCCGTTTTGCCACTCCGAGAGTCGACCTTCTGGGCCTGGCCATCGCCCGGACGTCCATTCCCCGTGTTTTTGTTCGGCTTCGTGCGTGGTTTTTTCCCCAAAGGATCAAGGATGCTCCTCGGTGGTCCTCGCCTAAGAAAAAACGCACACGTCCGAGCGATGGACCTGTCCTGGAGGCCCGCCGTGAACAGGAGATCTCGACGCGAGCAAGTTCAAGCCGTGGGTGGCGAGACTCCCCGCCCTGGCGCGCGGAGCGCGCCAGGGCCGGCGCCACAGGCGCCTCCAGGGGGGGCCCGGCGCAGATGCAAGAAATCCGCGTGGACCTCCGAGAAAGGATGCTTGTGCCGCTTTCTACGCTTCGAGCTCAGGCTCCGCTCCTCCCTCGGCGCGCTCGGCGGCCTGAGGAGGAGGGCGCCTCCTCAATCGCTGGACGCCCTCAGCCTACCACACACACACACACAGACACACACACACACACACACACACACACACACACACACGCCTCGGCGACGGCCTCGCGGCCGGAGGCGGCTGTTGCGGCCTCGCCGACGTGCCATCTGCTGGCGGCGCGCCGAGCTGCAGGGCAACGCGCGGGTGGGACGACTGGCAGCCGGGCCAGACCACCGTCCGGCTGGGGGAACGTCACGGGGGGGACCGGCTCGAGGCTCGATACTTTCGGGCGTTTTCGTTGTTTCTCGGCGGCTCTCAGGCCTCGCCGAGAGCGTTCCAAAGGAGCCCCGATCGCCCCGAACAGCAGCCGGAGGCACGAGTTACGACAGGGGAACTTACAGGGGACCGGCTCGGAGGGGGTGGAACATTGACCTGGAATCGACGATACATCGCTGGTAGATCGGCGATTGGCCCCCGATAGCGAATCCGAAGGCTCCTGGGAGGGGGGGGCTATCGGGTCCCTATCGGCGATGAATGAAGGTCGATGCCTCCCCCCTGAGTCTGTCCCCCCCTCATACTCTCACTGATGGAAGGGGTGGGCGAGGGGGCCGGCCTTCTGAGAAGACAGGGGGTTCCTTGGATCCTTTGATCCTTCGAGGAATGGAGGAGGAGGAGGAGGAGGAGAAGGAGGAGGAGGAGGATAAGGGGCGAGGGGGGCAATGTCTGGGCTCACTATCCGCGTCGGTGCCTTTCGCCGACGGACCCCCTGGCCGGTATGAATATGCAAACGAGGAGCCTCAACGACGAGGGCTCGGAAGAGGAGGAGGAACCTCACGACCTAAGAGTGCAGCCTGAGCGAGATCATCGCGGTACCAAACAACTGTTCTGGGTACTGGTGCAGTTGATGTTCGACCTTTATGCGCTGCTCGGACGGCTACGAGGGCCAACAGCTGAGCTGAGAGGGCCACAAGCTGAGCCATGAGGGCCACCAGCGGACCTTCGGGGACCACAAGCTGAGCTACGAGGGCCACAAGCACAGCTACGAGAGCCACCAGCAGAGCTACGAGGACAGCAAGCCGAGCTACGGAGAGGCACCAGCAGGGCTACGAGGACCACCAGCTGAGCCACGAGGACCGCAAGCTGAGCTACGAAGGCCACCAGCAGGGCTACGAGGACCACCAACTGAGCCACGAGGGCCATCAGCTGAGCTACGAAGACCACCAGCTGAGCTACCAGAGGCACCAGCTGTGCTGCGAGTACAACAAGCAGAGCTACTGCAGCCACCGGCAGAGCTACCACGGCCACCATCGGCCCTTCTAGGACCACCAGCTCAGCTACGAGGACCACAGGCTACTACAGCCACCAGCAGCGCTGCCAGGCGCCCCCAGCGGACCTTCGAGGACCACAAGCTGAACTGCGAGGACCACAGGTAGAGCTACGAGAGCCACCAGAAAAGCTACGGTGACCCGAGCTGAGCTACGAGAACTACGGCTACCAGCACTGTATCCACCTCACGATCCCCACGTGACTACGAAGCCTGCCTGTGGAGACGACGGGCCCTGATCTACAGCACAGACACCTCAAGATAGAGATACTTGTTCGACCCGGAGACTACTACGGCTCCTCGTCTATAGCGTTACCGACAAGGCACGCCATATACGTCCCTACAGGCAAAGGCACCATGTCATCTGTAACCGCTACATCCCCCTGGAGTGGCCCCGCCGCTTAACCCATCATTTCCCTCTTTACTCTACGATCTGCCTCGGGGTGCAAGAAGATTGAAAAAACCTAACCCCCCTCCTCCCCCTTCCTCCGAAACGGTAACCAGGCCCTCCGGTGGTACCGGAGGAGGGCCTGCGCGGCCGCGGCGTCGGGCGCCCGAGCGAGGGCGCCGCGACGCGGGCGCGGACAAGGGAGGAGGAGGAGGAAGAAGAGGAGGAGGAGGAGGAGGAGGAGGGCAGGCGGATGAGGCTGCGGAGGCGGCGGCGGAGGATAAGAGAACGATTGCAACGACGACGACAAAGACACCAACAACAACCACCTGGAGCGAGATCCCCCCCCCGCCTCTGCCGCTCACGCCGCTCGCGGCCGCGCCGCCCTGGTCGCAGCTGCCGCCTCGTACCGCGACGATGACGACGACGAAGCCGCCACCGCGGACGCAGACTCCGCCGCCGACGCCGACGCCGACGCCAACGCTGGAGACGACGCCGACGACAACAACGACGACGACGACGACGACGA